GAGCTGAGAGGTGAGAGAGAGAGAGTGTGTGTGAGAAAGAGTGTGAGACAGAGAGAGAGCGTGAGAGAGAGTGCGTGAGAGAGAGTGCGTGAGAGAGAGAGTGTGGAGAGAGAGAGAGTGTGTGAGAGAGTTTGCGTGAGAGAGAGTGCGTGAGAGAGAGTGCGTGAGAGAGAGAGAGAACAAGAAAGAGTGCGTGAGAGAGAGAGAGAACAAGAGAGTGTGCGTGAGAGAGAGAGAGTGCGCGAGAGAGAGAGAGAGAGCGCGTGAGAGAGAGTGTCCGCCAATCGACTAACAAGCGGGTTCCTACTGACTGCTGCTGTGTGTGTGTGGAGTAAGGAAACCTGCCCAACGTTGCCCCCCCCCCAACCTGACCCGCCCGGGAATCGAACCCGGGTCCTCCCGTTCGCTCTGACTAACCCCTGAGCCGCAGGGAGACCCCCACCGGGTACGTACGTGTTCGTTATCGTTGCCTGATAGCAATTCCCCGAGATGTCGGGGACTAGTTGTGGTAAGAGCGGGGGGAGTGGGGACTAGTTGGGGTAAGAGCGGGGGGAGTGGGGACTAGTTGGGGTAAGAGCGGGGGGAGTGGGGACTAGTTGGGTAAGAGCGGGGGGAGTGGGACTAGTTGGGGTAAGAGCGGGGGGAGTGGGGACCAGTTGGGGTAACTGACGTCGCATCAGATGGTTGCGTCTCAAGACCCCTCTCACTCGCTCATCAAATCCCCCCCCCCTCACGCCCCGGCACCTCCCAACCTCCTCTCCCCGACCTGCTTCCCCCCCCCCCCCCCCACCCAACCCACCTCCCGCTGCCTCTGCTCGACTGGCCCCGACCTCCTGCTTGTCCCTCGTGCCCTCCGCTCCACCATCGGTCGCCGCGCGTTCAGCCGTTGCGCCCCGAAGCTCTTGTCACTTTCTCCCTCTCTGCCCCTCCGTCCCCTCCGCCTTCTCCCCTATCCTTCCCCATCTTCAGGTGGTGCCCGATAGCCCTTCCTCTTCGACCGGTGCCTACAGTCGCCTCCCCCACTCCCTCCCCCCCCCCACCCCAGCCCGGCTCAGTGTCACTCTCGCCCCGCGTGAGGGGGCACTGTGTAAAATGCCAGTTGTTGTCGTGGTGGTTGCGTTAAGGGAGGTGTTTCCATCTCTTTACAGGAGAATGGCAGAGCTGCACATCATCGGTCAGATCACCGGAGCCAGTGGTTTCCCACAGCAGAACCTCTTCTGTAAATGGGGGATCCACGCAGGTACAGCGCTCACTGTGGGCTGGTGCGGGGGGGGGGGCGGTGGTGGGGGGGGGTTGTCACTCTTAATAACCCCCGTCTGATTCCCGGACGGGTCAGTCAGGTCGGGGCGAAACCTCAGGCAAGTTTCCTCACTCCACACACGCACACACACACGCACACACACACACACACACACACCAGCAGTAAGTAGGAACCCGCTTGTTAGTCGATTGGTGACTTGCTTTCCCGGGGGGAATAATCCCTTCGAAATAATAATAATAATAATAACGTATTCACTCAATTCACGATTGTTTGTGGGACACCTTCAGCCACTACCCCCCGAAACTCTGTCACGCTCTCCCTCTAACCCTCCCCTTCCTTCCCCACCTTCAGGACTTCGGCTGTACTTACGGTCACCCTCCCTCCTCCCGCCCCCCGTCTCCGTGTCGTGCTCCCCCACCGACAAGCGCTCCGGGACGCTCTCCTGTGTGAGTTGTTGACTGCGGACTCCCCTCGCTGTGCAGGCTGCGCGTGGAAGCTTTTGTCCGGCTCGGTGGAAGGTAGAACGCAGGTGGACAGCCCCGAAAATGAGCCAATCGCCCATTGGTCACATCCTCTGGACATACACTACGCCACAAAAGGACTGCAAGGTATCTGTAGCACAGTTTGAGACGTGATAAGGCACTGTATCAAATGCAAAGATTATTATTATTATTATCGTTATAATAAAATCATCTAAACTATCCTGGAGGGGGTGCAAAGGGGGTTTACCAGGAATGAGGGATTTCAGTCAGGTGGAGAGGGTAGAGGGCCTCTTGTGGGGGGGGGGGCTGTGTACGTGCAAGTTGTTGTTGTTGTTGGGATCTGGAATGCGTTGCCTGAACGCCTGGTGGAAGCCGATTCGATAACAACTTTCAAGAGAGAAGAGGATAGAAGTTTGGGGGGAGAGCGCGGGGGGAGTGGGGTTGATCGGGGCTATGGGGAGAGAGCGGGGGAGTGGGGTTGATCGGGGCTATGGGGAGAGCGCGGGGGAGTGGGGTTGATTTGGAAGCTCTTTTCAAAGAGCAGCACAGACCCGATGGGCCGAATGGCCTCCTTCCGTGCGTGCGGTGTGACTCCAGGGTTCTATCCTGTCTCCTCTGTGCCTCAGGTTGGCCAAAGCTTTTCCTGCAGGTCTGGCACCAGGACTCGTTCGGCCGGAACGAGTTGTACGGCTACGGTTTCTGCCACGTGCCGTCCAGCCCGGGTTTCCACGAGCTGGACTGCGTGACCTGGCGGCCCCTGGGGTCCTGGCAGGAGCAGATGTCCCAGATGTTTGTCGGGGGGGGCGTCCAACTGAAAAACAGCGACCTGATCTACACCGGGGCCGACCGCTACCGTCTGCAGACCACCGCCATGGGGAAGGTCCACCTCAAGCTGGGCATCATTCTCCGCAACTTTGACCGCTACGGAGTGGAGTACTGAGCTCGTTAAGAGCAGCAGCGAGATCTTCACACTCGGCTTCACCTCCCGACGCCTCCTCCTCCTCCTCCTCTTCGCTCCTGCTCGTCCCTCCCGCCCTCCACCCCACCTCCACCCCAGTCACTACGCCCCGAAACTCTTGTCACGTTCTCCCCCAATCCCCTCCCACCGCCCTCCTGCTTTGCCCACAGGAGGACTTCCCAAGGCGCTGGGCTGGGCTGGACAGTCGGGGACTCGGACCCGAGCTGGGGGTTGGGATCAGGAGGGGGGTGGAGGGCGGAGAGGGTGACCGAAGGCGCGGTCAAAGAGAAAGAATCTGTTCAGAGAAGCAACTGTACATTCTGCACTTTTGACGGAGACATTTACTGTATCATTACCACGTACTTTGCTATTTTCTGCGATGTTTCTGTGCTCTCGGAAGAATGAATATCACAGCACAAGATTTTTTTTACGGGATCAGTAAATGCTGCTTTATATCGTAATCATTTGGTCCCGATTCTACAACATGAATTTGATTCATGAAACCAACATTAATATCCATTACAACTTTTAGTTGCAGCGAACGGGTTAGCGAGCGAGAGGACCCGGGTTTGAATCCCTTTGCACAGCGCTATATCAATGGCAAGGATTATTATTATTATTATTATTCTCCAGGGTGTTGGTCCTCAGTAATGTGTCCTCGCTATAAATTCTAAAAAATATTTAAAGGAGCGTAAATTAGACATAAATTGAAAACGCAAGGAGATGGCACTCAACAGAGCAACGACAGAAGGAATAATAATATAGTAATATGTAAATAAACAGGAGTGGAGAGTTGGTGTGTGGATGTGCAACACTTTATTGTATGTAGATTTCGTAGAGCAATAAATCAGTCCGGTATCGTCATTTTCAAACTTAAAACAAGTCCAATCGAACCCCAAACAGCAAACCCAATTTATTAACGCCATTTTATAACCCATTTTAGGAGAATCGCATCACGTGGCAAATCACTGACCCTTTCAAATCTAGATTTATTGCAAGAGATTCACTTCACGGTGTATCCTGTGAAGCGCTTTTGAGACGTCTCGAAGACGTGATATAAGGGCGTGGTATGAGATGCCAGGATTATTATTATTATTATTATTATTATCATTACATTAAACGGTTGATTCTGAAGTTGTGTTGATGAGTACTTTCTCGCAGTCCCCTTCGCTCGACGGCTGCCCCGACCTTCGCTTATCTCGTCGTGACAGCCAGTCCGGGAGAGTGGAATCCAAAGGTTGCTGCCTGGCTTGAAGAAAGTAGACTTTGAAAGTCGCCCAGTCACTGAGCGACGTCATTTCCAAAGCCTCCCTGATCTCGTTGTTGTAAGAATAAATAAACGTCCGCCCGTTCAGGTTCTTGGCCATGACTTTTTGGGAGTATTCCAACAAATTGATCTCCTCCATCTGAAATGATAGCAACAATAACGGTTAGAATGACAGTGATCCTTATTAGCGTTTGACACGGCACCTTCTCAGGTCGTTGGAGACGTCTCAAAGCGCTTCACCGGGACACACTAAAGGGTAGTGACTGTGCGTTTTGTACGTGAAACATGACAGCCATTTGTGCCCAGCAGTGGGCAAACAGTCATGGGATTGAGTAACCAATTTTTTTTCCCAATTATTAATAGCCCCTGCAAGCCAACGCCCCTAATGGGTAGGGTGGTCCTCGCTGGACAAGCAGTGGGAAAGCTTGCCAGTCCGTGATATGTGGTTAGATTCCAACGCACACTCAGGGCTTCCCCCCCCCAAGCCTGGGCTCTCATCTACCTGCGCCTGATACTCTCCGGAATTAGGTAAGCAGGAGGCGTCCCTCCAGAGAGAGGGAGAGAGAGCGCATCCCATCCCGACTCTCTCTCTGGGGTTCCCGGGTGTGGGGGGGATGTGGGGAATTCTCAGTCGGGTTTGGAGACTTTTTAAGCCTCGGTGATGGGTTTCCGTGTGTGTCAGACACCCGACCGGTCACGGTGACGGGTTTCCGTGTGTGTCAGACACCCGACCGGTCACGGTGACGGGTTTCCGTGTGTGTCAGACACCCGACCGGTCACGGTGACGGGTTTCCGTGTGTGTCAGACACCCGGCCGGTCACGGTGACGGTGACGGGTTTCCGTGTGTGTCAGACACCCGGCCGGTCACGGTGATGGGTTTCCGTGTGTGTCAGACGCCCGGCTGGTCACGGTGACAGATTTCCGTGTGTGTCAGACACCCGGCCGGTCACGGTGACAGATTTCCGTGTGTGTCAGACACCCGGCAGGTCACGGTGACGGGTTTCCGTGTGAGTCAGACACCCGACCGGTCACGGTGACGGGTTTCCGTGTGTGTCAGACACCCGACCGGTCACGGTGACGGGTTTCCGTGTGAGTCAGACACCCGACCGGTCACGGTGACGGGTTTCCGTGTGAGTCAGACACCCGGCTGACCCAAATAAAATGGCGTCACTCACCTTTTCGCAGACCTGTTTTGCATCCATTCTCAAGACTTGAAGCACAGTGAATGGTTTGACATTATCCTTGTTTATCTGTTTCCGCCCGAAAATCTCTTTTCCACGGAGTAATTCCATCTTCCGTTTCAAGGAAGGATCAATGTTGATGGTGTAGGGCAGGAATTGGTTTGAGTCCTGGATTTTGAAGTCGAGCTTTTCAAGGAGAGTGTGGAACAGTTCTGGATCTCCATCCAGTTCCAGAAACTTGTCCATTTCTTCGTGTGCTAACTTCAACTCATCGTAGGACTCTTCATATATGCTCAGCAATGATTTATCTTCATTAACCTCCTTCAACGTTTGCTGCATGTCTTCCAAACATTGCGATATCCAACTGAACTTGGTTGGCCAATGACTTGTCAAAATAACCCAGGCAACGAGTCTGGGAAGGGTGTTATTTAAGGGTTGCCCTCGAGCCGCCATCAGTCGGACCATAATGTTAACGCTGTTGACAATCCTCCTCATTTCAAGATAGTTCTCTTCGATGAACTCCTGTAGATGTTCCAAACAGTCGTAGGCCTTTAGGATTTGACGTTCAACCTCATCCCTTCCCTTCACCTCCTTGACTTCGACGAGCGGTATACGCTCCTCGCCGGATCCCTCGCAGTCCGTCTCGCTTCTGCTCGGCCCTTTACGACTGCTGAGCAAGGTCTTGCGATTTATAATGCCCTTCAAGGTAATTAACTTGGTCTCGGTGTCCATCTCGGGAATGCAAAAGGGGAGAGTGATAATCCGGTTCAGGTACACGTATCCGTTATCGGCCACGCCTTTGAGTCGCGACGATCTCTCCACGCAGCTGGCGATGATGCTGGGATCGACGGCGAGGATGGAGATGAAGGGGGCTTCGGGGTCCGAGAGGAGGATGTTCATCGCGTCCAGCACCCCCACCACCTTGTCCGGGGTGCACCTGTCTAGGTTCACGATCTTCAGGATGATGCGTATCTTCCTGCGTTCGAAGATTTCCATGTATCGGATGAAGTTGGTGAGGACTTTGACCTCGTTCTTCACGTCGCTCATGAAGCCCAACTGGGCGCTGTAGTTGGTCTTGTTCATGAGGCTGTTGACGGTGTCCTTCTGGCTGTACAGCATATTCTTGACCACCATCAAGATATTTTTAACGAGCACTACGGTCGAGCAGCCCAGCACCCCAGCCCCCACGCTCTCGAAGGCTAAAATAATCTTATTGCCTTCATCGAAAACCAGGAGGCTACCCACTACGAAGAGCACGACCAACAGAATAATCAGCAGCACGAGGGCAGGGAAAATGATCCAAATTGGGATACCCAGTAGAGTCTTCCAGTCCCACTCCCGCTTCGATTTGTGGCTGACGCCGATGTCCGCGCCCAGAGCTCTTACGATGCTCAGTGGGATGTTCCCGAAGGCGCTTTTGACGGTGTCGCACAGGGTCGTGATGAGACCAGCCCACACGAAATCGCTTCCCGCGAACTGCCAGGCGCTGAAGTTCACGAAAATGAAGCGGATGTTTTTGCGTCCTTCGTGCTGAGGCGTGAGCCGAGGGTTCAGGCAGAGGAAGCGGAACAGCAGGTCAACGAAACCGAGGCCGGTGGATCGGCGAGGAGTTTCCCCGGGCCCCTTCTCCGAGCCGCCCGCGGCCTTCTGCTGCCGCTCGAAGTCTTTTGCCCGGTTCGTCATGTGGCCTACGGAAAGGCGACGGGAACATTGTACAAAGCCGCACGCCCGGGGGAGAGAAACGCCAACAACGGAAACGAAAGAGGCAGCGGAGGAATAATAATGATTGGGTCGCTCGACCCACGGCGGTTTGTGGGGACGTCGCTGGGGCCCGATCGGCTGCCGCGCTTCTTCGCCCGCAATATTCACAGTCGCCGCACTTCACAGCGTGTCCCGCGAAGCGCTTTTGAGACGTCTCGAAGACGTGATGAGAACACACTGCAAAGCGCGGTGACCGTGTGCTCCGTGGGCGAAACGTGGCAGCCGAGCGCGCGCGCGCCCAGCGACGTCTCCACGGACGGTCGTGGGTTGAGTGAGCAGTTTTTTCGGCGAGAAGGAATCACTACCCCCGGAAAAGCGATCCACCGGTCGACTAACAACTGCTGGTAAACAGAGGCGAGTGTGTGTGTGTGGAGTGAAGAAATTTGCCTGAGGTCTCGCCCTGACCAGACCCGGCCGGGAATCGAACCCGGGTCCTCTCGCTCGCGAGGCGAGGGCTTTAACCACTGAGCTACGCACCTTCTATTTTCTGCAGGACGCGATTTATCCGGCATCCCCACGGCGCGTATAATCCCACCGTCACTGGAGTCGGGATGTGGAACATGCCATCAGCGAGGCAGATGGCAAAATCGTCATACTTGGTCTGATCTGAAATTCATCCGTAGGAAATTAGACGCAGAAAAGGCCATTCAGTAGCAAATTAAAATCAGAACTGCGGTCGCTTCGACCCACGGCTGTTTGTGGGGACGTCGCTGGGCGCAATTGGCCGTAGCGTTTCGCCCACAAAACCCACAGACACGACGCTTTACGGAAGAGAGGTCCGTAAACACGGTCGAAAAGAAAAGTTTGCAGGTGGGACTTGAAGAGGGGGTGCGGGTGGGGGCAGAGGGAGGGATTGAGTTTCGGGGCGCAATGGTGGAATCCCTTAATATTTGGAGTCCTGTATCGTAGTGGTTGGAGCCCTCGCCTCACAAGCCAGAGGACCCGGGTTCGATTTGCGGGCGGATCAGGTCAGGGCAAAACCTTAGGCAAGTTTCCTTACTCCCCCCCACCCCCCCCCCCCCCCACACACAGACACAGACACACACACAGACACACAGACACACCTCTGTTTACGTGTAACGACCAGGTTCCCACTTACCGCTGGTAAACAGAAGCACGTAGGAGTGCGTGCATGTGTGTGGAGTAAGGAAACTTGCCCGTTGGGTGGGAACGGCTGGGGTCTAATCAGCTAAAAATCCTCTTTGTTGGAACAAAATACAGCGCTGAACCGAATCAAGATGTCGCGAAGGATGTTCCAGAGCGACGACTGGAATGGGATGGTTTTACCTGCTGTGTCGGAGATGGTCATTTTGCTTTACGTCGTCTCCTCCAGAGCTGAACAGAGACAAACGCGAGTTAATAAAGACAAGACGTCGCTAGGAACACTCAGTAGGTCAGGCAGCATCCACGGAGAAAGAGGATCTGAGTCAACATCTCAGGACTCGGGATTGGATGTTGGAAGGGAGCAGATCATGAGGACATGCGGAGAAGGGGCAGGGGAAGAAAGACAGGAAAATAACAATAATAATCCTTGCTTTTGATACAGCGCCTTATCACGTCTTCGAGACGTCTCAAAGCGCTTCAAGGGATACACATAGAGTCTAGCGACTGCGCATTTTTGTGGGCGAAACGCGTCAGCTAATGGCGCACGGCAGCGTCGCACAAACAGACACGGATTGAGTGAAAAAAAATGGAAGGAATTATTACCCCAAGGAAAAGCAATCCGCCAATCGACGAACAACCGGGTTCCTACTTACTGGTAAACACAGGCGAGTTGTTATTATTGTAATAAGTAAGGAAACTGCTGGGATCCTCTCGCTTGGGAGGCGAGTGCTCTAACCGCTGAGCTACAAGACTCCAGCCGAGGAGGACTACCCACACTGGAAGACAACTGAAGAGTTTGGGTGGCTCGGCGAAGAATTATTGAAGAGGAGTGAGCGAAGTATCTGCTCAACCGGCCAAATCTCTTGACTGATGGTGTGCCATAGTTACTATTTTAATAATAATAATAATATCAAACAACTGTTTGTGGGGACACTGCTGTGCGCGATCGGCTGCCGCGTTTCGCCCACAAAATATACAGTCAGTTCACTTCACAGTGTATCCTGTGAAGCGCTTGGAGACGTCTCGAAGACGTGATGAGGGGCCGTGTCAAGCGCAAAGGATTATTATTATTATTATTATTCTTACAGCAGAATTTGTACCTGCAAACTGCGTTCGCTCGGGTAAACCAGGTCCCACTGCCGGCAGCGTTCAGACTAGAGTGCGGCCAAAGGCAAATCAGTCGGTTAAATACGTTGATCATATCTGCACAATCCGATCAAAGTCAAATCCAACCACTCTGAACTTTGACTGTCACTAACTCTTTCGTTGACGGCTTTTATTGTAAGGCGGGGAGTGGGAGGGGTGGGGGGGTCAAAAGCTATTGATGGATTATTCGCGAGGTAGTATTTTTTAATGGGCGGACGGACAGCTGTCTTGACTCAAATGGAAAACTTCTTTTGAAGTTTGAAAGCCACGTTGGGGAGAGAGAGCACTCTCCTCGGCGAGCGAGAGGATCCAGGATTGATTGCCGGGTGAGACAGGTCAGGGCGAGATCTTAGGAGTTGCCTCACTCTACACACACACACCTCTGTTTACTCAGGAGCTCAGTTGTTGGTCGATTGGCAGAGATCACTTTCCGGGGCTAATATCCCTCCCAAAGATAAATGTGCCCAAATGTTTCGCCCACAAAATACACGGTCACCGCACTTGACAGTGTCTTCTGTGACGCGCTTTTGGGTCGTCTCGAAGGCACGATAAGACGCTGCGTCGAACGCGAGGTTTATCGTTGTAGATCGACAGACTTTCATCTGTTGAGCGTTTCGTAGAATCATACGGCACAGAAGGAGGCCATTCGGCCCATTGTGTCTTCGAAAAGAGCTCTTCAAATCAACCCCACTCCCCCGTGCTCTCTCCCCCCACAGCCCCGATCAACCCCACTCCCCCGCACTCTCTCACCCCACAGCCCTGATCAAACTTGTCCTCCCCAAATAATTATCTACTCTCTTAAAAGCTGTTATCGAATCGGCTTCCACCGGCCTTTCAGGCAATGAAGTCCCTCATTCCTGGTACCATTTCTGGTCAATCTCCTTCGCACCCTCTCCAATGCCTTGACATCCTTCATAAAGTGCGGGGCCCAGAACTGAACCCAGTCTCTCGCTGAGGCCGAACCAGTGTTTTATATAAAGGTTCATCATAACTTCCTGACTCGTGTATTCTACGCCCCTGTTTATAAACTCCAGTGTCCCGTATGCTTTTTTTTTAACAGCTTTATCTCCCTGTCCGGCCATCTTCAAAGATTTACTGATATGAACCCCCAGGTCTCTCTGTTCCTTCACCCCCTTTAAGCTTCCACCATCAACTTATATTCCTCTCCTCATTCTTCCTCTATCATATCACTTTGCATTTCTCCGCATTAAACTTCATCCGCCACCTGTCTGCCCATTTTACCAGTCCGTTTGCAGTCTGCTCCTATCCTCCTCACTGTTTGCTACTTTTCCAGCTCAGTACCATCTGCTAACTTGGAGATTGTCCTCCCTATACCCAAGTCCAGGTCATTTATATGGAGCACAAACAGTAGTGATCCCAATACTGACCCCCTGGGGGTCACCACCGCACACTTCCCTCCAGTCAGAAAAACAACCGTTCACCACCACTCTCTGCTCTCTGTCTCCCAATCAGTTCTGTATCCGCTGCCGTATCACTTTAATATCGTGGGCTTCTGTTTTGCCTACAAGTCTCTTATGTGGCACTTTTATCAAACGCCTTTTAAAAATCCACATAAATTGCACTGCCTTCACCCTATTTTTCTAAGTGAAAATGCATTTACAGTCTCTATTAGTTTCCCCACCACTGACTGACTGACTGACTGACGGACTGTCTGTCTGTCTGTCTGTCTGTCTGTCTGTCTGTCTGTCTGTCTGACGGACGTTCGGCTGACTGGCCTGTAGTTTCCGGGTTCATTCTTCTGCCCACTTTTGCACAGGTGTGACGTTTGCAGCCCTCCAGTTCTCTGGCACCACCCGGTGTCGAAGGAGGATTGAAAGATCGTGGCCGGAGCCTCCGTTGTTCCCACCCTTACTTCCCTCAGGAACCTGGGCTGCATCCCGTCCGGACCGGGTGGACTTATCCCCCTTGAGCACCTGTTCGACATGTTTATTGCATCCGTTAATATCAGGCGGAAGCCAAAACGATAAGGAGGCACTTGAAGTTAATCAATGACTACTTCTTGGATGTATGGTTTGCCGATTGAGGCCTATCCTCACAACCTCTGCCAAAGTTCAGGTCCCGTAGAATTACTTATGAGAGACTCCGATGTAGTTTTAATTTGGTTAAAAAAAAAACCTGTTCCTGTCAAGAAATACAACGAGGACTTGTGGTTGCGCAGAACCCCCTCACGTGGGCTCGCGCCCCAGAACCTCGACGATGACGCCAAGCCAGGGGGAGGGCACCGTAGGAACAGTCGAAGAGTAAAGGTCTTCAGACACGACCTGTAGATGGGGAAGGAAGGGCAGAGGTGGAGGGAAGGATAGACAAGAGTTTTGAGGCTGTAGTGACTGAAAGCCCGGCCGCCGATGCTAGAGCCGAGGGCACGAGAGACAAATTCCCCCTTTTGCCCCATATCCCTCGATACCCTGACCTTTACAAATGCAAGTTGGTGTTGTTGTGTGACGTTTCTGTCTGCAAATTGGCTGCCATGTCCACACCCAAAAAGACACGGTCACTACACTTTGCAGCATATTGTGTGAAGCAACTTGAGGACTCCTCCCGACGTGAATCAAACTCAGGCATTACCGACTTACCTCCTGAACACAAACACGGAAGGCGATGATTGTTTTCAAGACAAAAATGCAAATATTTATTAATATGACATTCACATGACGTGAGAAAACAAGAATTCCACAACGTCTCCTGTGTGCGGCTCTAACATGTTGAGCGAGGAGGCATCGTGTGGTCTGCCGGGCGGGTGGGGAGGTAACCAGAGGATCTAAGATTAATTGGCCGAAGAACCAGAGGGGAGATCAGACGAGGAGGCAATATCTGAGACAACCAACGTCACAAGATAACGGATTGCTTCCCGAGGGCTAATAATCCCTCCCAAAAAATAGTAATTTGTTCACTCAATCCACTACTGTTTGTGGGGACGTCACTGGGCGCCATTGGCTGCCACATTTCTCCCACAAGCCACACAGTCACTACACTTTACGGTGTATCCCGTCAAGCGCTTTGAGACGTCTCGTAGACGCGATAATCATTATTGTTAAATGTACCATTGGCAGATTTAATTTCCCACCCCCCACAACCCCCTCCCCGCCCCATTGCCCCCCCTCCCTGCCCGCCCACTGTTTCCCCCCCCCCCCCTCCACCTCCCCCCACTCCCAAGGGAGGGGGGTGACCGAAGGCACGGTCGAAGAGGAGTGTCTTGCAACATGCCTTGAAGGAGGCAAGGGAGGGGAAGGGGGTTGAGCAAGGCGAAGGGAATGTGGGATGAAGTTCCAGAGGGTAGGGAGCAGAGAGCTGAAGGCCTGACCGCCGATGGTGGCCGGACCCCGCTGAGCGGAGGGAGCGGACAGGTTGATGAGGGCCCATCGGCCTCGTCCATTGTTCACACAGCGATGCTAAACTGTTGGCTTTGGAGGTTTTGTGCGGTCCCCATCTGGTGAGATAATAGGTTGTGACTGTGGTACGTTGGGTTCTGTGGAGGAAAGGAAGCCGTTGGTGGCGGTTGGGATTGAAGGAAGAAGGCGTTGAAGGAAGCCCAGTCACCCAGCGACATGTCCAAAGCCTCTCGGATCTCGTTTGTTTTAGAATAAACCAAAGCGTTTCCATTCAGATTGTTCAGCCTGATCTTTGACTTGTACAATTCCAGTTTCTCCGGATTCAGATCAATGTCCTTCATCTGCAAACGAATCATAGAATAGAATCTTTGGAAGAGCCACTTTGTGGAGTCCTGTAGCTCAGTGGTTTGCAAGTGAGAGACCTGAGTTCAATCCCGGCAGAGGGCAAAACCTTGGGCAAGTTTCCTTACTCCACACAGAGCCTAATAATAATCCCTCCAAAAACAAAAACAATAATAAATTAGTCATTTCCAATCCACGACTGTTTGTGGGACATTGCTGTGCGCAATCGGCTGCCGCGTTCGCCCACAAATATACAGTCAATTCACTTTACAGTGTGTTCTGTGAAGCGCTTTGGGACGTCCTCCCGACGTGAAAAGCGCTATATCAAATGCGAGGATTATTATTATTATTAACTAGTCCCCCCTCCCCTGCTCTAACCCCAACTAGTCCCACTCTCTTACCCCAACTAGTCCCGTCTTACCCAAACTATTACCCACTCCCCGCTCTTTTCCAAATCTTTGCGTGTGAGGCGAGGGCTCTGACCACTGAGCTACAGGACTTGTGCAGGTGGAGGTAGGAGATTGGAGAGATAAGTGGGTGCCAAGGAATGGGATGGATTTGCAGATGAAATGCATCTGTCGTGAGATATCGATCTGATGTGTGTTTGTTGTGGGCGGCAGAGCTTTTGATGAGTTGCAGCGCCGTATCACGTTGAGACATCTCAAAAGCGCTTCACAGGATGCACTGTAAAGTGTAGCGACTGTCCATTTTTTGTGGGCAAACAGCAGTGTCCCACAAACAGTCATGGAGTGAGTGAACAATTTTCCGGGGATTGTAATCCCTTCAAAAATAAAATTATTATTTGGTCACTCAACCCACGACTGTTTGTGGCGACGTCGCTGGGCGCAGTTGGCTGCCGCGTTTCGCCCACGAAACACACAGTCACTACACTTTACAGTGCTTCCTGTGAAGCGTTTTGAGACGTCTCGAAGACGTGATGAGGCGCGGGGATTATTATGATGGTTATCATGGTTAAACCAGTCGCTTTGGTGAAAGTTGTGAGGTGCTCACTCACCAATTTACAGACGTCGTCCACGCTGAGATCGAGCACTTGCGGTAAATTCTGGGGCTTGACAACGGTGGGCTTTTTCGGAGCCTTAATGGATTGGTTTCCACGCAGCAATTCCATCTTCCTCTTCAAGGAAAGGTCCAGGTTGATGGTGTAAGGCAGAAGGTGGTTGGCGTCCCGAATCGTGAACTTATAGCTGGTCGCGAGAAGTTTCTGAAAGAGTTCTGGATCCCCATCGAGCTCCAACAACTTGCTGATGTCGGCGTTTATGCGACTGAGCTCATCGTGTGAGTTGTCGTAAAGGCTCCACAGCAGAATCGTTTCATCAATATTCCCCTCTTTGTTTATGTCCATCTTTTGCTGTCTATCTTCCAAACACTGCCAAATCCAACTGAGACGGCAGGGCCAGTGACTGGCGAGAATAACCCAGGCGGCCACCTTGTCGGGAGTAACTTCCTTCACCTCGAACCCCATGGTGAACATGAGTCTCATCATGATAGGAATGGTGTTGACGATGCGGCTCATTTGGAGGTAATTCTCCTCGATCAACTCGTGAAGGTCCTTGTTCTGAACCAGGAGTTGAAACGTCAGTTTGGTGAGAGCTGTCGGGCTGATTCTGGGCTCTTCCGCGACGACGTTAACCAGAGGCGTGCTCTCTTCGGTCGTCCCCTTCCTCCCGGCGGCCATCTTTCCCGAGTGCGCGGAGGACGTCTCCTCTAGGAGGTCGCTCTTCCTGTCGATGATCTGCTGGAGGGTGCTGAGCTTTGTCTGGGTGTCCATTTTCGGCACGGAAAACGGGAGCGTAACAGTTCTGCTCAGGTACTTGTAGCCGTTATCCGCCACGCCTTTGAGAGTGCTGGAATTCTCGACGCAGGTCGCGATGATGCTGGGATCGACGGCGAGGATGGAGATGAAGGGGGCTTCGGGGTCCGAGAGGAGGATGTTCATCGCGTCCAGCACGCCCACCACCTTGTCCGGGGTGCACCTGTCTAGGTTCACGATCTTCAGGATGATGCGTATCTTCCTGCGTTCGAAGATTTCCATGTATCGGATGAAGTTGGTGAGGACTTTGACCTCGTTCTTCACGTCGCTCATGAAGCCCAACTGGGCGCTGTAGTTGGTCTTGTTCATGAGGCTGTTGACGGTGTCCTTCTGGCTCACCATCACGTTCTTGGCAACCATGAAGGAGTTCTTGAACGCAAACAAGGCAGAGAATCCCACCAGGCCAACGCCAAAAGTCTCTGCCGCCACCACCTTCGTATCGCCGTGATCGCCCACGGGGAAGCCGTACATGATCACGATGACCGTCAGCACCACACCGAGAGCCAGCAGCAGGAAGGAGAGCACCCAAAGGTGAATTTTGAGGATCCTCTTGCTAACCCATTCCTGGTCCAGGACGCTGTGCTGGATGGTGGTCTCGTGGCTCAGAGCCCGAACGATGCCAGTGGGCAGGTTTCCGAACTTATTCCTGATGTTCTCGCACAGAGTGGTGATGAGGCCGGCCCAGATCTTGTCGCTGCCCGCAAACTCCCAGGCACTGAACTGCACGAAGATGAACCGTACATTTTTGCGTCGTTGGTGGCGTTCGGTCAGTTGAGGCTGAAGGAACACCAAATACCACAACAGGGTGATGAACCCCAGGCCAGTGGACGACCTGAGCTTCTCCTGGGTCCTCTTGGACTCCTTTTCCTCCCTCGCCGCCGACTCCTCCAACATGTAACCTGCAGAGAGGGCGAAAGGAACTATGAATGGTAGGAATAATAATCCTTAAACTTGATGTATAGCTCAGGGGTTAGAGCCCTCGCCTCGATAACCAGGACCAGGGTTCGATTCCCGGGCGGGTCAGGTCAGGGAGAAATGTTGGGCAAGTTTCCTTACTCCCCCCCCACACCCCCATCCGCGCCCACACACACACACACGCACCCACACACGCACACGCACCCACACCCGGACACACGCACACACACACCTTTGGTTACCGGCCGTCAGTAGGAACCCGCTTGTCACTCGATTGGGGGAATCGCTTTCCGGGGGATAATAACCCCTCCAAAAAATAATAATAATTTGGCCGGCTGTTTGTGGGGACGTCGCCGGGCGCGATCGGCTGCCGCGTTTCGCCCCCAAAAACACACAGTCACTGCACTCGACAGTGTATCCCGTGAAAGAAGGGCTTTGAGACGTCTCGATGACGCGATGAGGCCCAGTATCAAATGCGAAGATGATTATTATTACGGTTATTATTAGTAGTATTATTGCCGTCACCTGGTGCTGAACCACAGCTCACGTACCTTGTATCTTGCGCAGGAGGCAATTGATTTGGGAACCCCAAGGGGCATATAATCCAACTGTGGCCGGAGTCTTAATATAGCAGAGAGCTCGTCCGAGGCAGGAGGCGTAGGCGTCATACTTTGTCTGATCTGCAATCCATCCAGTGGGATATTACTCATCAATCACTCATCAATATCCCTCTGAATATCACTCACACCACAACCACCATCACCAACTCCACCATCACCCCAACCTCCCCCTCCTCCACCACCACCACCACCGCCACCGCCGCCACGAGGCAGGCTCGAGGGGCTGAACGGCCCACTCCTGCTCCTATTTCTTACGTTCCTATGCAAATACAATACGAAACAACGTTAAGGCCTTAGAGCAGATGGAATTCTTATCCTTTCCTACGAACACTTCAATTTGGGCATTCGGCCGGTGTTTATATTTCTGAAGAAACGTGGCTTTGCGATCCCATGATAAACCTTTCTATTCCTCTGTCTCCCTTCCCCGCCTTGATCCTCGCGCCTCCATCTATCTGGCCCTTTGCGGTCAGTCCCTTGATTAGTTGCTTTTCCCCCAAAATACCTTCCTTATCTTATCTGCAGCTTCCCGGTAAGTGTATCTGCTTCCTGTGTCTGTTATTCTCTTTTATTTTTATTTGTGTGCCAGGTAAGGACCTGTTTTATTCACGTAAGCCCTTGCATTTCACGGAGCGCCTTAACCCGTCTTCGAGACGACTCAAAGCGCTTCGAAGCGTTGTGACTGTGTGCTTTGTGGGCGAAACGCGGCAGCCAGTCGCGCCCAGCGACGTCCCCACAAACAGCCCCGGGTCGAAGCGACCAAATTATTATGATTTATTTTATTAATTTCATCGTTTGGTTTGCCTTGTTTCGGAAGGGATTATTGCCCCCCAAAAGTGTGAATCAACTAACTAGTCCCCACTCCCCATCTCTTACCCCAACTAGTCCCCACTCCCCATCTCTTACCCCAACTAGTCCCCACTCCCCATCTCTTACCCCATACTAGTCCCCACTCCCCATCTCTTACCCCAACTAGTCCCCACTCCCCATCTCTTACCCCAACTAGTCCCCGCTCCCCATCTCTTACCCCAACTAGTCCCCGCTCCCCATCTCTTACCCCAACTAGTCCCCGCTCCCCATCTCTTACCCCAACTAGTCCCCGCTCCCCATCTCTTACCCCAACTAGTCCCCACTCCCCGGCCTCCCAGGCCTCTCTCGTCTCTCCAAGGAATTGAAGTCCCTCGTTCCCGGTACCTTGGGATCAATTAATGTGTCGGAGGAAGATTCTATAGGCAATTGGCGGAGTAAAATACCAGAGATTTTCTCACCTTGGGGCTTGAGGTCAGTCATTTTGTTTCGTGTTGCTCCGTCTTGAGATAACTAACACAGACAGCAGTTACAAGACATGAGACTGAGCTTCTCAGACATCTGTCGAGTTGCATTCAATGGCAATTATTATTATTAACGCTTATTATTATTATTATTATTAACGCATTTGCCACAGGACCCCATCACGTCGTCGAGACGTCTCAAAAAGCGCTTCGCAAAATACACTGGGCAGCGAATTGATCGTGTATTTCGTGGGAGAAACATTGGCAGCCAATTGCGCCCAGCGACGTCCCCACAACAGTCCCTGTAGCGTTGTGATTACTGCACTCGCCTCACAAGCGAGAGGACCCGGGTTCGATTCCCGGGTGCGACGAAACGTTGAGCAAGTTTCCTTACTCCGCGCGCCTCTGCTTACCAGCAGTCAGCAGGAACCCGGTTGTTAGTCAGATGGCAGATCGCTCTCTGGGGCAATAAACCTTCGAAAAAATAAATAAATGAAATATAATAAAATAATAATTTCGTCCTTCAATCCACCGCTGTTTGTGGGACGCTGCTGAACGCAATTGGCTGCCGCGTTTCGCCCACAAAATACACAATCAATTGACTTTACAGTATATTCTGACATTTTAAACATCCGTTTGACTGGAGAGACTGGGATCGTTCTGCTTCGAGCGGAGGAGTTTGAGGGGAGATTTAATCGAGGGCTTCACAGTTATGAGGGGGTTTGATCAGAGTAAATAAGGTAGAAACTGTTCCCTCGGGCGGGCGGGCGGGTGGGGAACCAGAGGGCATAGATAATCGGCAAAAGAACCAGAGCAGAGACCAGACGAGGAGACATTTTTTTTCCCCCAAAGGGTCTAGAACACTCGACCTGAAAGGCTGGTGGGGGCAGATTCCATAGCAAAAGGGAATTGGATACGGACTTGAAAAGGAACAATGTACGGGGCGAAGGGGTAAGAGCGAGGGGAGTGGGGACTAGTTGGGGTAAGAGCGGGGGGAGCGGGGACTTGTTGGGGTAAGAGCGGGGGGAGCGGGGACTTGATGGGGTAAGAGGGGGGGAGTGGGGACTAGTTGGGGTAAGAGCGGGGGGAGTGGGGACTTGTTGGGGTAAGAGCGGGGGAGTGGGGACTAGTTGGGGTAAGAGCGGAGAGTGGGGACTAGTTGGAGTAAGAGCGGGGGAGTGGGGACTAGTTGGAGTAAGAGCGGGGGGAGTGGGGACGAGTTGGGGTAAGAGCGGGGGAGTGGGGACTAACTGGCAGCTCCTCCAAAGAGTCGGCACAGGTACGATGGGCCGAATGGTCCCCCTTTCCTCTCTCTCAATCTTACAGGGACGGCTGCGATAGGGTTTCCGAGACGAAAAGCCCCAAAGGGGGGAAAAAAAAAACCCTCCACTTAACTCCTCTCCCGGACGTTCGATCGGACTCACCTCCAGTCACCTCCCGCGCGAGTCCCAGAGCGGTGCATGAGCCACAGAGACAGCGAGTCACCTCTCACGTCACCGCCGACGTATCACACCTCCAAATCACACTCAAAACCAATGAGTGTTGAGTTTATCTCAATGCCAAGGGCGGGTACCCTCCCCCCTCACGGCTCCCCCGCGCCCCCTCCGGGGCTGTTTGCTGATCGTTGTTCATTCCATCTCGTCTCGAGTAACAGGAGGAATTGCCGAAAAACAGGTCGAGGCTGTTCTCTCGTCCAGATCTCTTTCTCTCTCTCTCTCTCTCTCTCTCTCTCTCTCCTCCCTCCGCAAGGAATTGCCAGGCGTCACGGCGCAGGAATTCGCCCACTGCTCCCCCACCCGCTCGCTCTTTGTCGGGCGCCGTTCTCGCCCGCCCAACGGCACAGTCGCGCCGCTTCGGGTTAGGGTTAGGGTTAGAGTTAGAGTTAGAGTTAGGGTTAGGGTTAGAGTTAGAGTTAGAGTTAGGGTTAGAGTTAGAGTTAGAGTTAGAGTTAGAGTTAGAGTTAGGGTTAGAGTTAGAGTTAGAGTAAGTGCAGGAAGGAGGAGAGCGGAGAGAAAAGTGGGTGCCAGAGATGGACTTGCAGATAAGACGCTTCCATCGTGAGATACTGATCTGTGACACGGCAGACGCTTTGACGCGTTAATTACAGTTTAGCCGAACGGCTGCACCCAAAGCACTCAAGCAACTCACGCGAGGAACAGTCACTTCAGCCCGAGCGACGTGTTTGCGCCGTGAGGTGTTTGAGACGTCATTTACGATCGCAATAATCATAATAATCCTTGCGTTTGACACATCAACAGCGCCTTATCTCTTTTTTGAGGTGCGCTGTGTGTCGCTGATCGTGTTATCAACAAATAGCATTGACACAGACACACACATGTAGTCACACACAGACACACACACACACAGACACACGCACACGCCTGTGTTTCTCAGCCGCCCTTACATAACAATAATAGGGCCAATTCATCTGCAAACATCACCGAACTGACAATTAGCCCAAAGCTGTTTCGCTCATCAAAAGAAATGTGGATTAATCACTTGTGCAAACTCGGGGTACGCGAGTGACCCGATCGATCCCATCCTCACCCGGTTCCACCCGCTCTACACTCCCACCTCACCTCTGCGACCTCCTTAATACCTGAGGACCCTTTGCTCAGCCTCCGTGTGTGTGTGTGTGCTTCACGATCCCCCCACCCCACCCTACCCCACCCAACCCTCCTGCGGCTCAGTTGTCAGAGCACTCGCCTCGCAAGCGAGAGGACCTGGGTTCGATTCCCGGGCGGGTCAGGACGAAACATTGGGCAAGTTTCCTTACACACACACACACACACACACACACACGCCTCTGTTTACCTGGTAAGTAGGAACCCACTTGTCTGATTTTCTGGGGGGAATAATCCCTTAGAGAGTAAAAATAATAATAACAATAATCATAATTTAATATGAATCCACGACTGTACGCAGTCGGCTGCCGCGTTTCACCCACAAATGACACAGTCACCGCCATTTACGGTGTAGCCCGTGAAGCGCTTTAAGACGTCTCGACGACACGGTAAGGCACGGCGTGGCAATGCGGGGAGTGTTGATAAAAGCAGACGTCGCTGGGAACACTCAGAGGGTCAGGCAGCATCTATGGAGAGACACGACCTGAAACAATGTTAACTCACTCTCTCCGTCTCTCTCTCTCTCTCTCTCTCGCGCTCTCTCTCCATAGATGCTGCCTGACCCGCCGAGCGTTCCCAGCGGCTTTTACGGTTTTATTACGATGCAAAATCAGGAAAAATGACATTTGGGCAAAACTTTTCGGGTCAGGAGGACGTCCCAAGGCGCTGATCGATGATGATGTAGTCGGGTTTAGACATCGCTTTGTCTCGTTGATGGGAACCGGTGAAAGTGATGAAACCTAAAGCTCGAACCAAGAGTCAATTAATGTCATTGAGATCCCTGGTAAGTATCGGTTGGTTCAGGAAACTCAGCCCTCCCCTCGGGCTATCGCCTCACAGTCCTTATTCCTCCAATTCTTGGCAACGAAGTCCGGCCCAAGAACTCGCGGCCAACCGCCGGCGAAGCCTGAAAACATGGGAACCTCCACACAGGACGAGACCTATCGGCCGCCTCTCGAGCCTGTTCCGCCGTTGTGTCAGCTCGAAAATAATCGCCCTCGCATTTCGATACCGTCGTGACGTCTCGGGAGCGCTTCACCGTCGAGCGTAGTGACTGTGGGTTTTGTGGGCGAAACGCGGCGGCCAATTGCGGCCGACGGCATCCCCACAGACAGCCGCGGTGATCAAATTATTATTATTATTATTTTGAAGGGATTATTACCGCGCGGAAGGCGATCCCACTTGCAACTCAGGAGCGCGTGTGTGTGTGTGTGCGTGGTGTGGGGGGGGGTGGGGGGTTGTAAGGAAAGGTTTATGCCCTGACCCGACACCCGCCCGGGTCTTCTCGCGAGCGCTCTGAGCCGCCGAGCTACGGGACCCCACGAAAACGTGCCCTGAACAAAAGAAAAAAAGAGAGCGAGAGATGGCATCTACCTGCGTTCCGAACTGACCCGATCGGCGTAAAACCCGCAAACACCCGATCGGAGCAGAGCTCTGGCGATCGGCAAAACCACGGAGAGCCCTTTTGTCGAATAATCTGGATTTATTAGAAACGAGCAATTGTCATGGTACATGAGATTTCCGTATGTACAGCGTTCTGTGCGAGACGGTGAGTGCTCCGTCGAGGCGTCTCCCACCGAACAAATGATATTGCGGTACTTCAGACATTATTTTGGCGATATATTTCGTTACCGGGACATTTTAAGCATTCTTAAATATTAAGTACCAGTTTTATAACTGACATTCTTTGCTCCTGACCAGCCGCGCGCGTGGCCCGAGAGGTCGGTTCGATGGCCCCGAATGATCTCGGGGTCTTCCCCCCGGCGTCGCGGAGGTGGGTTCCGGTCACCTTCGGGCAGAGCCGACTCAAAGCATCGCTCGGCCCTTCCTCACCTGAATTAAAGAGGGGTCTCAGCGAGCCGCGTGTTGGCGCCCAAGATGACGGACGCACAGAGTTGCAATCAACGCTACGACGGGGTGGGGTGGGGTGGGGGTGGGGTTGTTGGAGGGGGGTCTTTGGTGGGGTGGGGGAGGGGGAGATGTGCATAAGATGGTTTCGTCCTCACTTTTATTGCTTGTGTTCTCGCTCTACAAATTCTACTTTTGTCGCATCTTTGTGGACGGTTGGGGGGGGGGGGGGGGGGGGGCGCGGAGGTTCCCCCTCCCACCCACCCCCAACCCCTTGCGACTTCGCTCACACCAACTCAGAAGCGCGTGTCGGACGCGCTCACCCGCGCATACACGCGTGCTCACGAGCGCTCGCTCACAAACGCGCGCGCGCTCTCGCGCGTACATATACGTCTACGTGACTCATTCGCTCACAAAAAATGCACTGACTCACACACACACACACACACACACACGCTAACAAGCGGGTCCCTAGTTACTGCTCGCGTAAACAGAGGCGTGTGCGTATGGAGCGAGGAAACTTGGCTAAGGTTTCGCCCCGAAGGTTCATTCAGAGATACACTCGACACTCCACACTCGTGCGCTCACACTCACACACACAAACACACACTCGCGCTCGTCCCACAATGGCTTTGAACACGCAAACGTTTTTTTTCCGCGTGTGAGCCATCGCAAACTCCTTCGCGAACACAAACCATTTCCAGTGGGACTGAGTCAGGACCCCGCGGGGAAGAGATGGGCATTAATCTCCTTCCCACGAGCTTTGCTGACTCTTTTTTTTCGCCCGGCCGGGTGTCTGACACACACGGAGACCCGTCACCGTGACCGGTCGGGTGTCTGACACACACGGAAACCCGTCACCGTGACCGACCGGGTGTCTGACACACACGGAGACCCGTCACCGTGACCGGTCGGGTGTCTGACACACACGGAGACCCGTCACCGTGACCGGTCGGGTGTCTGACACACACGGAAACCCGTCACCGTGACCGGCGGGTGTCTGACACACACGGAGACCCGTCACCGTGACCGGTCGGGTGTCTGACACACACGGAAACCCGTCACCGTGACCGGTCGGGTGTCTGACACACACGGAAACCCGTCACTGTGGCTTAAGAGTCTCCAAACCCGACTGAGAATTCCCCACATTCCCTCCACACCCGGGAACCCCAGAGAGAGAGTGTCGGGATGGGATGCGCTCTCTCTCTCTCCCTGGAGGGACGCCCCCTGGTTTAGTGTGGGGGAACCCAGAGTGTGCGTAGGGGGAACTGTTGGGGTCTAACCAACTAAACCCACACACAGCTCAGCCATCGAGAGAGAGAGAGAGAGCGAGCGCTGTCCGGCCGAGCTTTCCCGCTGCGTGTCCCGCTCGGACCCCCCTCCCCGTCAGTTAGTTGGGGCTTTGGCTGAGGGGGAAGATTCCCTGTCCCCAGTGACTGGTCGGCCCTTCCAGGTCCTGTTGATGGGCCGGGCCGGGCCGGGATGGGATGGGATGGGATGGGGATGGGCCGGGATGGGACGGGATGGGATGGGACGGGTTGTCGGTGAATTTTTTGACCTCCGCTCATGTCCGGATGTGATTATTTGCCGACATTTGGCTCTAAACTGTAATCCAACAGGTTATGGCTTTAAGCGTTGTTGAGAAGATGGCGAACAGTTCCTCTTCACTGACCCTCTCCCAGTAACGCAGTGCAAAAATCATCGCAGCCTTTTACACGCGTAAAGCTTCCGACATAATGAAACAGCTGCGCAACGGAGCGGGATTCTGATGTGAGGTAATAATAATAACAACAACAATAATAATCCTTGCATTTGACCCGGCGCCTCGTCACGTCGTCGAGACGTCTCGAAGCGCTTCACGGGGCAGACTGTGAAGTGGAGTGACTGTGTGTTTCGTGGGCTGCGGCCGATCGCGGCCGGCGACGTCCCCACAAACAGTCGTGGGTTGAGGGACCGAATTATTATTCTTTTTTCAAAGGGATTGTTACCCCCGGA